TTTAATTGTGATTACTGTCATATATTTAATGCAAATTGCTTGTAGTTGCAACCTTTATGTTTTAGATTTAATATTTTAGCATCTGATGTATGCAACTGACCCGAAAAGGAAGAAACAAGCAAAAAGGATGGATGGATGCAGCTGTGTCAATGTGTACATAATTCAGTTTAGCAAGCATAGCACAGAAAAATTGCTAAATTTCTGAATGACTTAGGAATTACAGATTAGCTTGCTGCTGTGCATATGAGTTTTCCCTCAGATGCTTTCCTTTCTATATCCTTAGACTTTCTGCTTTTTTCAGAGCTGCAGGTATAGCTCTGAAATGCCAGTTTGCACCTCATCAAACACAAGAAAGTCCTTTTCCAAAATACAAACCAGTGAATTTTTGTTGTTTTCCTCTAAAATGGAGCTAAATCACATGGAACGTGATGTATGAGCTCATTCTGCTGGACTCTTGTTGCACTTCAGATGTGAGGAAAACATCCACACGGCGTATCAGTAACTAGAAGGAGCATTAGCTGCAACATCAGCCCATTTGTGGTTCCACTAAATATCTAATCAATACGGAGGGATTAAACCAGATCTTTGGGAGGATATACAGCCTCCATTTCACAACAAGCTAACTCAAAGGAAGGAGAGATCGGATTTACTTTCAGTCCAACTAAAGATTAAGTTCATCTCGTTCAGTGTTTTATTTCCTTCCGTTGTCATATTGATGTTTTCAGATTATTTTTTTGAGAAGTGCAATAAGACAATCAGCCATTCAGTGTCTTTAATTTTTACAGCGTTCATAATAGTAGGCCTCACTTTGATGTTCTTATTTGAAATGAAATAAAATTTAAAATGTTTTTTTATTTTATAAAATTAACTTGATTTTACATGTAGTTCAAATCTTAAGATATCTGCTTTTGTTGTGCACATTGCCTCTTGGCTGCAAGCTTTATGAGCAGGGGGTAAAGGAGCGATTGTGCACGTTTTACATATTTACATCAAAGGATTTATGTGCAAATCCACATGTTGTGACATCGTCCTTGGACTTAGCTTAAACCAGATTTCTCCTCATGATAAATAAGTATATTTAAAAGCTCTGAAACACGCTGTAATTTATTTGTTCACGTCTGTGAATAACACAGTGTCCTTGAACCCTCTTTGTTTTTGCGTTAAGTGAATAATTTAAAAGTTAATTGCAGCCGTTTTCTGCATCGCAGCAAAGAACGAGAACAATTTCTCTGCAGAAGTTAACGGGGTCGTTGATCAACAGCAGCGGAGATTTTTGGAAATCAAACTTCATTCTGCTGCTACGAGACCCATTAAATAAATTAAAATATTTTAAGCAGTTTTGATGGACGACACTAAAACTTTTTTATAAGTTCACAAAAACTGTGTCTCTGACTAAACTGGTTCGCCTCTTCAGATTTGCAGAGTAATAAGTTGTAGAGATGGATTTTTGCCACACTTGTCAATGAATTGGATGGTTTTACAGGAAGAATAAATATTTTCATATTCATTATTAAAAACAAATTAGTGCTGGTGATGTCAGACATTCAAATTCTCTGTATAAATAGCTCAAATCTAGACAATAACAGATAAAAAATAGGATTTTGGTAAAAGTACCGTATTTCCCGGCGTATAAGTCGCAGGCTATTTTGCACAAATTAGTCAGTCCTGCAACTTATACGCCAAAGTGATTTATAAACATTTTATTTTCATAGTCATAACACAATTTTTGACTGACGCTTTAAATACTGACCATAAAAATTGAACATTAAATAAATGCATAATAAACACAACAGGTCAACAGTGATGCATAATAAATGTGACTTCTGTTTGATTTTCCTCTTCGTGATGCTTTTTTTTTTTTTTGACTGATGTGACTTATACGCCAAAAAATATGGTATTTCATTTTTTGTGAATTTATTATATTTATAAGTTTATTCATAAAAAAACAATTCAATATACAATAAGAAATACAATCACAAATAAAATGAAAGGCAGCAGAAAGAAGACAAAAATCTTATAATATCTGCCCCTTTTTACCAAAACATTAATTCAAACAATAATAATCTTTAAAATAACAATTTCAAAGGCTTTCTTCTGTTTTTAAATACAAAAACAAGAATCCAGAGTGCTTATCTGTTGCATGACAATTCTAATAAATAATTTCTAGTAACTTAAATAAAATCCCAGTTTGTGTGTGTGTGTGTTTGTTGACTAAGCAAGCTATTCAAAATTAAAAAGTTCAGTTTTATTGTGAGAGTGAAAATACAGGTCTCCCCATCCAAGCCTGTGAGCTTTACAGTTCCTATTTTTAATATTCTGTAAAGTTATAGGATAAAGACATAAAATGATACAGATGTGGACAGTTTCCATCCGAGTCTTAAAGATCCAGTTTGGAGCTAAAATAATGGTTCTGATCCGCTGGCAGGTGGAGGCTGCTGGTGAAAACAGAAATATCTGCGAACAGTTGAAGTTTTATCACCACCACTCCGTTACCACTCCTTCCTCTACTTCAGAGTTGGTTGTTTTTTCTCCCTCACAGTTTTATGTCTGCAGTTACAGATAATCTAACCAAGTGTTGACATCTGATTAAGACAATCATCTCACTCCTTTTAAAACCAACACTTCTCTAAAACACATCGTATCCAACTCAAGCCGTGCAGAACCTAACATGAATAAAAAAAAAGCAAAAACTTTCTTCTTCTTCTTTTGGCTTTTCCTTCTCCAGGGGTTTCCACATTGAGTCATCCTCCTCCATGTCCTCTCTAACTGCATCCATTATTTAAATTTAATTCAGTTGATTTCTATTGTTCAAAGTCACCACAGAAGTCATCTCAGAGCACTGTACAAAAACGTGCACATACAGCCAGTTAGTAAAAGTTATCTATTTAAGGATTGCGTTGAATCTTCACTTCATCACAGTCTCCCATCCTGAGCGAGCACAAAGGAGACAGTGGGAAGGAAAAACTCCCTTTTAACAGGAAGAAACCTCCATTAGAACCAGGCTCAGGACGAACGGCCATCTGCTTCTAATGGCTTGAGGGAACAGGAAGGAGAAACAGACAAACACAGAACGACGGGTCCAGGTGTACTTTCTATAGGAAGAAAGACAAAAAACAAAACAAATAAAAGAAAAACAGATGTTAAATAAATTACAAAAACAAACAGAGTAGAGCAAATAAAGACGGCAGCAGAGTGAAGAAATGTGGTCAATTTGTCCTCCAGCAGTCTAAGCCTATAGCAGCATAAGTAAGGGATAGCTCAGGAAACCAAAGCCAACCCTAACAGACTATAGGATTTATCAAAAATTAAAGTCTTAAAACTGGACGATGTGTCAGCCTCACAGACAGAAATTATAAGTTGGTTCCACAAGAGAGGAGCCTGATAACTAGAAGCCCTGCCTCCAATTCCGCTTTTGTAAACTCTAGGAACCCCAAGTAAACCTGCAGTCTAAGAGTGAAGTGCTCTGTTAGGAAAATATGGACCAATAAGATCTGTAATATAATATGGAGCTAGGTTGTTGAGTGCTTTATAGATTAGAAGTAAGATCTTTAATTCTGACAGGGAGCCAATGGAGAGAAGCTAAAACTGGAGATACGATCTCTCCCACTAACTCCAGTTAAGACTCTGGCAGCAGCATTTTGGATTAACTGAAGACGTTTAAAGAAATATTTGGACACCCAGATAATAATTGCAATAGTTCAGTCTTGATGTGACAAATGCATGAACCAATTTTTCAGCATCACTTTTGGACTAGATGTTTCTAACTTTAGTGATATTACGCACTCATCCATAGATCTCCTTGTCTTTTTCTGGCAGCTGCATTTCTAACATCCTTCTACCAGTATACCCACTGTCCCTCCTCTGGACATGTCCAAACCATCTCAGTGTGTCCTCTCTAACTTTATCTCCCAGTTGTTCAACCTGTGCTGTACCTCCGATGATCTCATTCCTAATCTTATCCATTCTTGTCAATCTTAAGGAGAACCTCAACATCTTCATGCCCTAACCTAATGTGATAACAAAAAGAAGCGAAAACCCAGGACCTAACACGCCGAAAGCAAAAGCCTAACGCGCCCGAAGGAACATTAACTTTACTTGAAGTCTCAACACATCAGGGTCCTTTTAGTGAAGACGTGTTGGCTTTTCAAATGTGGTAGAAAGCTTACTGTGCCTGAGGGAAAATAATCCTTTGACAGCCGTAACATCCTCAGGTGAAGCTGCTTTTATTTTGTTTTTGTGCTGATAATTATACACAGCAGCTAATACGTATGCGTGTGCATATATTTTACATGTTCATGTTTATGAGAACACAAAGCAAATGCTGTTTAGGTTTGGCTGCACATTAAATTTGCAGTTGCCCTTGGTAATGTGCTTACTACTGAATGGTATCCATTGGTTACCTAAACAGTGTGGAAACAAGAGGGATGGTGCGGCTGACAACATGCAAACACATTTTTATCACTCCTCCTGCTGCCTTTTCTGTCCTCCATCTCTCTGTCGCAGTTCACTGACTGATATAAAACTATAAAATCCGACTTCTAGTACCTCACATAGTGCAGTTTACTGGCTTATTTCCCAGGCTGCAAGATTTACACTAAATGAATCTTCCGAAGACATGAACGTGAAAGAATGGTCTTGCCTCAGGCTTGAAGCTTGAACAATGTAAACTGTTTTAGTCATGCAACAGTAAAAGCACTGAAAGAGAGAAACAAGTTGTGTTTCATTGCATCCGTAACTGAATTTAAATAAACTATTTTGCTGCCAGAATGTTAATGGATGCTTCAAGATTGCGTTGGTGCACATTCTGAAAATTGCACACACTCTCATATCCAAAACATGAAAGCTAAGATTACTTTAATCCCAGACTAAAAGCAGTTTATGTGTAATAAGCACCACTTTCCCTCTTTTGAATGTCCTTGTTCTCTTCTTTCCTTTCCTACATCCCACTGACTGTCTCCCTGTGTTTTTCTCCTTCCTCTCCGTCCTCCCCTCTTCCCTAGCATGGCCGTGCCGAGTTTTCCTGGGAAGGAATCAATGTAAGTCTCCTTGTTTGAATGTCTCTACCTCCTGCTCACATCTATCCCTGTCATTTTGCCCTCCATCCCTCACCGATTTACCCGAGTTGGAGCTTTCGGTACATAAGTTGTCATCCCGCTTGTTTATCCGTCCACCTCTTGCTGCCACTCTTTCTCTCCTGCTTATCTCTTTCTGCCACTGCCTCTCGCTCTTATCCCCAGGTTATTCCTTTTCTACCTGTAAATTCTCAGCCATCTGCCTCCTCTGCTAATCTACTGTACTGCAAGCTACACATATACAGAGAGAGTCACAGATAACGGGCTGTAATAAGCTTATCCTATCTGTGGCTGAAGCTTCAGCCCCAGTTTTTAACTGAGAGCAGGACATGATGACGTGCATCTCCAACAAACTGTTTGATTTATTTACACATGAAAACATTTTCATCGCCTCAAACATGAAAGTATCCAGATGCATGCTCAATAATCCAGGTAGAAAAATCTAACAAATTAAAGTCAGGTCCTATAAACAGATCAGATTGAGGAGCTGCACTAAACTCAGTCTTATAAATAGCACCTGGCATAGTGGATCAACAGTTTGCTGCTGGCAGCCAAAACCAGCTGTTCACATGATCAAGGAGGACCAACAGCATAAGATCTGATCGTTAGTGCCCCCTGATGGCCGCTTGCTATTCACAGAGGGCTCTCGTTCCTCTGGAGGGCTCCTGTTCTTCTCAAACTAACTTGGATTGACAGAGGAGTGAAGGAGGCCATCTTTGTGGAAAGAAACCGTCCATCATTAAACGGGGCGGAGGCCTCCGTGTTCAACTTCCCCCCTCTTACAATGCTATTATTGCTAGTATCACTCAGCTCTCTGTGAATAGCAAGCGGACATCAACAGTGGTGGCTAAGTACAGTAACGATGTACGAGTACTTCGTTACTGTACTTAAGTACAAAATAGTCCATGCTCTCAAATCCAGGTATACAATCCAACTATTTTCAGTCAGGTCATCTGGACAATTTTTTGTACTTAAGTACATTTTTCATGTATCTGTACTTTACTTAAGTAGAGTTAAACATGGGTACTTTTTGTTTTTACTCCACTAGATTTTATATTAAGTATCTGTACTTTCTACTACACTACATTTCTATAATGTGTTACAAGTTACATTCACGTTGCGTTTTTTTGATTTGTTTGTTAGTTTGAAAGTAACCAATGGTGAGAGAGGAGTCGGTCCACTGAATCACTGCAAAGTGGGCAGGTAACATTAGACCCACCTTCAAGAAGAGCTGGGCCATTGATGTGTATTCTAGTATATACATCATTGAGCTGGGCGCACCCACAGCACCACTAACACACCCAAACTGGATTCCACTGTGGGGAGTCAGCCAGAGGATATGCACCAACCTTGGCCTTATTGAAAGACTATTGAAAGATTATTGAAAGACTATTGAAAGACTATTAAAAGATAATTGAAAGACTATTGAAAGACTATTGAAAGATTATTGAAAGACTATTGAAAGACTATTGAAAGACTATTAAAAGATTATTGAAAGACTATTGAAAGACTATTGAAAGATTATTGAAAGACTATTGAAAGACTATTGAAAGACTATTAAAAGATAATTGAAAGACTATTGAAAGACTAATGAAAGACTATTGAAAGACAATTGAAAGACTATTGAAAGACTATTGAAAGACTATTAAAAGATTATTGAAAGACTATTGAAAGACTATTGAAAGATTATTGAAAGACTATTGAAAGGCCTATTAAAAGATAATTGAAAGATTATTGAAAGACTATTGAAAGGCTATTAAAAGATAATTGAAAGACTATTGAAAGACTATTGAAAGATTATTGAAAGACTATTGAAAGACTATTGCAAGATTATTGAAAGACTATTAAAAGATTATTGAAAGACTATTGAAAGACTATTAAAAGATTATTGAAATACTATTGAAAGACTATTAAAAGATTATTGAAAGACTATTGAAAAATTATTGAAAGAATATTGAAAGACTATCCAGTACAGCAGGACAGATTCTCTCTCCCAGAAGAGACAGACTGGACTCAAAACACGTTGAAAACCAACTTCTTTTGAACTTGAACAAGAAATTCTTGCTGCAATATTAAAATGTGTCAGTTCATGGGATGTTAGGAGACAAGAGATGTGTCCAAATGTCTCGACACTCAGGTCCACGTTTTGAAAATGGTGTCAGGAAGTTAAAATATCGTTCACTGTTGACCCATTACAAGTTTGACTAGACAGTATTTTAACTAGAGTTGATGACAAACTGGAGTTGAAATGATCAGATATTCTTTGTCAGGTCTAATGTTCTTTTTTCAGGCAGAAAACTTTTACTTAAATGTTTTAACTGCAGTTAAAATGACACATTGGTTTTGCTTTGTGTTAAATAAAAACTTTCAAACGTAAAATCATTCCTCTTTCTTATTTTGCTTAATGACATTTAACTCTGCAGGTCATCCCTGAAATTCTAACGCACAGAATCACAAGACCAAGTGTGAACAGTGTCACACAATAAAAACATGTATTATCTGCAGCATTGTTCATTAAAACAACACTATTCATGTATTACAGAAAACATACATACGGTAGACACACAATGATATTGTCGACCACTGCATTAGGTAATACATTCAGCAAGTACTTTTACTTTTAATACTTTAAGTAATTTTAAAAGCAAGTACTTACTTTTATTTAAGTAAAAACATTAATGTGGTACTTCTACTTTTACTAGAGTACATTTTTGTCTGTTTACTTGTACTTTTGAGTACTTTCTCCACCACTGGCCATCAGGGCACTAACGATCGGTCGTCAGGCTGATGGCCTCCTTTATCATGTGAGCAGCTGGTTTTGGTTGTCACCAGCAAACTGTTGATCCACTATGAGAAGGTGCTATTTATAAGACTGAGTTTAATGCAGCTCCTCAGACTGAAAAAGTCTTTTCAACAAGTTTTTTGGAATCTGTCCAGAGGACCTGACTTAACTTTGTTAGATCAAACATGAAATCTAAAAAAGTTAAATCTGGTCCTCTGGACATTCAAAAACCCCCAAAACAAAGCAAAACAACAAAAAATGTAGAAACGTTTCGTCTCTCGTCCGAGAGACTTCCTCAGTCTGAGGTGCTGTTTTCAGCTCAGTCTCTTAAATAGCACCTTCTCAGAGTGGATCAACCAGTTTGCTGGTCACATGCTCAAGAAGGACCATCAGCCTAACAATGGATCATTAGCACACTGATGGCTGTTTACTGTTCACAGAGGGCTGAGTGATACTAGCAATCACAGCATTGTAAGAGGGGGACAGTTGAACACGTAGGCCTCCACACCTGTTTAATGATGGACGGTTTCATTTTTTGTTGTTTTGCTTTGTTTGGGTTTTTTTTGAATGTCCAGAGGACCAGATTTAACTTTTTTAGATTTTTCGACCTGGATTATTGAGCATGCATCAGGATATCAAACATGAAAGGTTTTCACAAAACTAAAGCTGATTTTAAAAGTTATTCAAAAGCAACAAAAACTTATTTCATCATTATTGTCAACCAGTATTAAGGAAGGCAAATAACAGGATACTGGAGCTGTATCAGTAACTGAGGTCACCTTCCTTTGGAGAATCAAGTGAAAATATCAAATACCCAGCATCCTCTGCAGGAATAAGTATCAGAGTCAGACAGAGTCAGAGTTTCTTTATTGTCATTCGCACCTCATGTGGTACATTTGGTGGAGCGAAATTATGTACACAAGGTCCCAGTTACATCCAACAATAAAATGTATAAGAAAAACAGTAATAACATCAAAGATATGAACTAAGAAAAACATCAACTAAATATACACCAAGCACTCATAACAAAAAACATTGAACATCAGCACAAACATGAACATGAGTCTGTGAGCAGATGTGCACGCATGAACACATCAACATTGAAACAGATCAGCAGCAACATGATATGGTTTTTCACAGTGATTATTCTAGTTAGAGATTCATGAGTCTAACAGCCTCAGGGTAGAAGCTGTTCCTCAGTCTAGTGGTTCTACACTTAATGCTCCTTAACCTCCTTCCTGAGGGGAGTGGGGCAAAAAGTGTGTGTGCTGGGTGAGTGGGGTCCTTCATGATGCAGGTGGCCCTCTTCCTGCATCTAGAGGTGTAGATGTCTGTGATGGTGGGGAGACTGACTCCAACATCTTCTGTGCAGCCTTCACCACTCTCTGCAGAGTTTTTCTTTCTGCAGCTGTGCAGCCTCCATGCCACACGTTGATGCTCGAGCACAGGATGCTCTCCACTGCACACCTGTAGAAGGAGGTGAGGACTGAGCTTCCCAGACCAGCTCGTCTCAGCCGTCTGAGGAAGTAGAGTCTCTGATGAGCTTTCTTCATCAGGCTGGTGGTGTTGTTGCTCCAGCTGAGGTTGTCATTCATGTGTACACCCAAGTACTTGTAGCTGGAGACCACTTCCACCGCAGATCCTCTTATGTTCAGGGGGGTATCGCCTCTTTGGTCAAACTTTGAATATCTGAATTATTTTAATGTTTGAAGTAAATGTTGGAAATGACTGTCTTCTACTACCACACCACATTTTACCTCACTTTGTGTAAAATTCACTGAGGAGTCTATTTTTGTGTTTGCCAAGTTTGCTTTACCAAAAGTTCATAAATTGTAGATGTCATCCCAATTTATGTAAATTTCATTAAATGTTGTTGAGAGATTCATGAGATATTTTGCTAACAGCTAATTGTTCTGCTTTCACATTTGGCAGTGGGCGACAAAAAAAAATGTGTGAACAAACTGCAGGAGTGTAAGTTGTGCAGAAGATCTTCTGTAGGCACATTAACCAAAGAGCAAAAGCTTCATGATGAGCAATTAGCAACCACTAAATCCAAATTAAAGGTAGAGCTGGATTATGGAACGGGTGCTTGGCTCTGCAGATTTAGTGAGGTGTAAGGAGATTAGTTTTTTGCTCACTTTGCCTCATGTTTTAAGTCTCTCCTGAGTCTTGGGTTGGAAAAAATAGTTCTTTTTAAATGTATTCTCTTGCAGTGATTTATTCTTGCTTATTGGTCTCGGTTGGTTAGTAATAGATCACAAAGTGCTTGGAGTACAACTGAGATGTTTAGAAACAAAAAGATAAAAAAAATCCTGAGCTGTTCTTTTATTTTTTGTGGGGTGACTGCACACCGGTTTGTTCTCCATTCCTGAAGTTGTTCTGTTAGATGTTAGCAAACAGTTAGCTCAGTCCGGCTCAGCAGACACAAATAAAGTGAGCATTCAAAGCCAGTTTGTTCTCTGCAAGCTCCTGGATTTTTCTTTTTCCACTTTCTTCTGAGCGAAACAGTTTCTGTCTTCTGTCTAGTAGAAGTTTTATCACTTCAGCTGAGATCAGCTAAAGATAACTGCTGGGAATCGGGTCAAAAGAGGCCTCAAGGACATGAATTATTAAAGTAAATGCTACATCAGACAACAGCGATACTTGATGGTTTTTCTTTTTTAGCTGCTTTGTGTAGATCTGATGTATTTTGGATCATTACGTTGCATTATGATCCAGTTTAGTCCAAGTTTCAGCTGTTAGACGTTCTCACATTTGCCTCCAGGATCCTGAGGAGCATACAGTAGTTGACTTAATGAAGTACCACAAGGCTGAGTCTTAGGACCCATCCTCTTTACAATCTACATACGTAATGTAGGTCAAAACATCCCTGATACATCCATACATTTCTACGCTGATGACACAGTTGTTTATTGCTGAGCTAAAACAGTTGAAAAGGCTTTCCAGCTTTTGAAATCTGCATTCAGGTTCATCCAGTCTGATTTGTTCCGCCTCAAACTTGTCCTGAATGCCGACAAAACTAAAGGGATGCTTTTTTCAAATAGGAAGTCGGTCCCAGCAGTTCTTTGATTTCATCCTCAAATGGTGTCCCAATTGAGTTTGTTGATTCCTATAAATATTTGAGTATCTTGGTCGACTCGCATCTCTCTTTTAAGCTCTGTGTGGAAAACTTGGTAAAGAAACTGAAAGTTAAACTGGGTTTCTTTTTCAGAAACAGATCCTGTCTAGCCCTGAATGCTAGGAAACACCTTGTATCTGTGACTTTCCTTCCCTCCATTGATTATGGTGACATTATTTACATGAACGCTCCTACAAGAACCTTGCAGATGTTGGATGCTGTCTATCATGGTGCACTAAGATTCATAACTGGCTGTGATTATCGTACCCACCACTGCACCCTGTATTCACTGGTTAACTGGTCATCATTAACTTCACGCAGACTCTCTCACTGGTACATTTTCATCTTTAAATCACTTCTTGGTCTGCTGCCTTCATACATCTCCTCCTACATGTCTCTGCGTGAGTGCAGCTACAGCGTGCGCTCTCAGGACATTATTACCTATCTTCGTTTAACGTATATCTTAGTTTATACCTTAGATCCTTATTTAATGTTTCTTTTTACACTTTTTATTTTTTATATTGTTGGATGTAACTGGGATCCTGTGTACACAATTTCGATCCACCTCGTGCACCACATGCGAATGACAATAAAGAACCTTGTCTTGACTTGACAGTTTGTATGAGGCGTTTGTATGGAAATGCTAACATAACGTGCTGCTCATGGAAAATGGTCTCCACTTTCTCTACAGGACATTGTTCCAGAAATCTTGTGGTTCCTTCACGTAGAACTTTGCAAACCAAACCTGCTGCCGTGATCTTTATAGAAATGTGTTCTCCTCCAGACCTTCCATACTTCTCCAGTTTTCTTGTCATGTTGTGAATTTTAACCTGTTAACTCAGACCGTAGATTGAAATCTTTGTTGCCCATCTATATAAACATTACATGGTCTGACATTGGGGTGACGTTACTAATGTTTTCAACCTTTAAGAATTTATTTTCACAGTTAAAAAAAGAACTATAACTTGTTTGAAAATGACTTAATTTCTCTCATATTCATCACCAGTAATTTCTTCTCTGAGCTCATTTCTGATGTATTTCCTCTTTAGTATATTGTCAACATATAGGAATATAATTTTAAGAAATACCAGAGTTTATTTCTTATTTATTTTCCCCTAATTTGTCAACACCAAAACTTCTCTTTTTATATCGAAGTACTTTTACTGAGATGATCAAATCCATTTGAGCGTCAGTACCTGGATACATTTTAATTTAATAAATATTATGGAAGCTGTGTCACTAGTTGTTTGCACCTATGTATTTGGTAAATAAATAATCACCCTGTTTAATAACTCATGTTTATTTTTATTTGAGGATGAATTTATCCAATATTTAGATGTGGAAAACCAAAAATCTTAAAAATTAAAAGAATATATTTACCTATGTGCAACCTCTAATGGTATGGGGTTGTCTGATGCAGGATCTCTACAAAAACTATTTCATAATTTAATACTTCAGCCGTCTCAGGCGATGCTTCTTATTTAGCCATTTATCCAAACACCAAAACATTTCTCTGCAGCAGCTGCTGTAGCTCATATTCGGCTGCTTGGAATACTCCTGCTGTGATAAATGACCACATTTATTCTGAACTCGGTCACCACAAACAGAATTTAGTAACAAATGATTTTGATTGCAGGAGACCCCTGCACTTCTGGCTTATTGCATTTCTTGTGGATATTAGATCCAAAGAGGAATATTGCTTTGAAAGTTCTGTCTGTGTGGCTGCTGACTCACTGGCTGCGTTGGACCAAACAATAACGCTTTTGTTTCAGAGAGCAGCACACAAGAGGCACTTCAGTGATGCAAGGATACTATTGTATTGGTTTGTTGTTGCACTTCGGTTTAAAATCTTACATCGTGTCTGGTGTTGTCCTGACTGTAATTAGCTGCTGGGAGAACTTCGTTACGAGCCAGCCTTTGTCTCTGCGTTCATTCACTGAATGTTATCAACCATTAAATGTCTGTTATTGGTTGTTATCATCCCCATACGTTACGTTCAGACTGTCCCTCCTGTACCTCCTAGTAGGTTTAAAGGTACGTTCTTATCGCTGATAATAGGGTCAGGGGGTTAAGTTAAGAGTCAGTGCTCTGGGTCAGGCGTTAAGTTAGGTTTAGGAAAAGGGTTAAATAAAGCTAACTAAAAAAAACCTAACGGTTTTAGACACATGCAAAGCTGCAAATTATCAGCGATAACGATAAGAATGTACCGTTAAACCTACTAGGAGGTAGGAGGGACAGTCTGTATGCTGAAGGCCTGTCGCGATAAACAATAAATCAATTAATCGCATGATAAATGAAAATTATCAACCTCATTTTCATTAATTGGCTTTATCGTTTCTTCGTGTCTCTCTCTTTTTACAGGACACTGGATGACAAAAGGTTCAACTACGGTGCTCTTCACTGACACCTCCCTTTCTCTTTTAAATCGGTATTAACCGTCCAAAATTATGTTTTTGGATCATTAAAAGCAGCTAAGCTGAGAAGCTAAGCTACGAGCTAAGCTAACTGTCCAATCTCGGGGAAAAAACCTCCGTCTTGTCAAAGTTCCAAAAATTCACAGTTGAAACCCGTGCCTTCATGTTAAAAGCTGTTTTTCTCTGCAAAAAGAAGCTGAGAACTTGTTTACTGATTGTTTTCATTAAAAGTTTTGAGTGAAAAATGCTATGCTAAAGAGCTGAAACCACACCAAGCGTCCACCATTTTGCAAACCAAAGAGAAACGTCTCATGTCATGTCAAGGGGCCTCCCTTCAAATATTCTTAAAGAGACACACTGCTCCTCCCTCACTATCCATCCTTCAGTTCAAACAGTCTTCTCGTCTAGTGGTCAAAAAAGGTACTACACGGTAAACAAATCAACATTTCTTCTTAAATTTTACAATAATTACTAATAATTGTCAAATTTCAAGCAATATTATCGTATATCGCAAAAAATTTCTGAGACAATTAATTGCCCAGCAAAATTTATTATCATCACAGGTCTACCTATGGGGATGATAACAACTAATAACAGTCATTTGATGGGCTGATAACAGTTTTCAGGTTGAACACCGTGGCCAGGAAGCAAAACAGAAACAGCAAAGTCACAGAAGAATGATCAAGTTTGCTGAAGCCAGAAATAGCAGTTTTTGATTTCCCTATTAATGGAGCTTTTAATTTAGAGAATAATTTTGAAGCAAAACGTGTGAAATACAGCACGTTTAATTAGATTCCTTGGCTGATTTCATCCACTTTTTATAGTTTCACCAATTTTATGAGCAGATGCTGCTTTTTGAGAGAGAGTAAACTTCATCAGAAGGTATAAGTGTCTGGATCTTAAAGGTCAACGACACTGTGCTTTTTCTGCTCTAAAGCATAAAACAAGACAAACTTGCATTATCATCCAAACTTGTGCTGCCAATTGCTATTTATTCATATATTTGAGGTATTTTAATTTGTACTTTTTACTGTACTGAACCACAGAAGTGATACCACATCCATCAGTAAGTTATTTCACCTTTTTCCCGAGTGATTTTGTGTCAAAAACAGACGACTGCGCTCTCAGGAATCAGTTTTTTAATTGCTTTTGAATCACCACATTTTTCCTTTTAGCTCAATATTTCACGACTTTCCTCTTTTTAATAAATGATGCTCGTAAGCCGTTTTCAAAATGCTGAAATAATTAACCCTCCTTTCTTATTCCTTTCATTCTGATTTCTTTTCTCTCCTACTTCACCTTCATTTTTCTTCGAATCCTCAACCACCTGATCTTTTCACCTCAATTTCTTTTAACATTCTCTTTCTTGCATTTATCTCTCTCATCTGTTCACATGCTGTCATTTTCCATGACACATTGATTTTCTGTCTTTTCATCCGATCTCCTCCATCTTTCACCGCTCCACCTCCCTTCTGTTCTATTTTCCCTGCTCACCTCCTCCTTTAACTCAACCTCCCCTCTGTCTTCAGTTGTCCATGGAGGACACTACGTCCATTCTGCCTCGTCTCAAGAGGAAGTCCGCCAACTCCTATGGGATCGGTGCCCTGGCTAAGTCCTCTCTGTCAGGTGTGTCAGGTGTGTGTCTGTGCTGCTAGATGGTAAAACAGCCCCCATGTTGTTTCCACATGCTCCACAAAAGGTCAAAGGGCAAGTTTTTGTTGAACATTGAAAAGAGTGGTACCTCTTTTCAGTTTTGTGCAAAAGATCATTTTTGTTTTCTTCGTGTGCTGTTCAGATGGTTATTTGGTGTCACACAACTACAGAAGACAAATGAGCAACATTTTAACAAGAAGTACGAGTCCTCTGAATTAATCTACCAGCCCGTCGTTCACAGAGACGATGCTGTCGATCGAATGCTAAGTTTAGAGTTAGCTTTAACCAGAAGAAGGCGAGTGCAGCAGACTTGTTTTACAAAAAAATTAAGATTTAAGAATTATATTTAGGAAGAACAAAGCAGAAGCATGGAAAAACTATCATGGTACTAAAAATAATCTGATTATTGAAGAGGTCCTGCCCCAAGTGGAGGAGTTTGAGTATCTCAGGGTCTTGTTTGCAAACGAGGGAAAAATGGAGCAAGAGATCGAAAGGTGGATAGGTGCAACATCTTCAACAGTGATGTAGTCTACATTTTTGTAGTGGGTATACTGTGCTTAGAAACCAAAGTACGCCAGTTAGTACACTGTAATCGTCAATGTATTTAGATTTTTAAGCGTATTGAACATTTCAAAATTTCTCTGATGCTTTTATTTGAATAAATGTACAACAAACCTTGTACAACAGTTGGCTTTGTATTAAAAACATGTTATAGAAGTTATAAAACAGGATCAAAGCAAAACATTAAATTAAATTAAATTCAGAAATTATTAATCCCAAAGGAAAATTAATTGTTGTTGTAGCTCATCCTAGTTTCATTACAGTTGTTCTAGATGCTGATGTCTGTGGGCAGGAAGGACCTCTTGTAGCAGTCCACCTCCCAGCGGATCCAAAGCAACTGGCTGCAGATGCCAATCCGTTCATCCAGACCCAGCAGACCTCTTGGTCCTCCTGGACAGCAGGACTGCCTGAATGCTGGGCAGAACTCCTCCCCGAGCAATGGCTATTCCTCCCAGCAGCCTGCCGAGCTCCTTGTCGCCTTGTCGGACAAAACTGCAGGTGCCGGGGGATGATCTCAGTCCTCCTGCTGTCACGAGCCTCATTTCCTGCTACCTCCAAGATCTCGGCAGTCAGGCACTCGAGCAATGCCTCCAAAGTGACGGGAATGCATCCACGGCACCTCCTTTTCAACTCATTTGGATTTGGGGCTGTAGTTGAGCTATTATTTCAGCTTTGAGATGTTTATCAGCAGATCCCAGTTGTAGAAAGCCACCTTGTTGTCATGGTTACGCATATTAAAAAATGTCCAAAAGTTAAAAAAAAAGTTTTCAGTAAAAATCCTTGCAGCTGCACAGTGTCCAAAAACCAGAGGAAATAATCATCCAAAAAAGTGATTTACATCCAGAAAAAAAAGAGTAATTAAAAGTTTTCAAAAGCAAAATCTCAATGAATGTAAGAGAGCTACTCCAACATGCAGCCACCTTGAGCGGCACAATTCTAGAACTATAACATGTTCAAGTATTAAGTACGATAGTAAGTACAGAAGTATTAATTATACAAAAAACAGGTTGAACCAACTCATTGGGTCTATAAAATGTTCCAAATGGGTTGACAATGACACGAGCACATGTCACGTATCATTGCCAATTATATGGACTCGTATTATTGGGAACGTTTAAGTGGGTACACTGAACTTTCCACACTTTTCTAGTGGGTGTACTCCATTTGCCCATGTATCACATAGACTACACCACTGGTCTTCAGTGAAGCGGGTGCTGTACCGGTCTGTCGTGGTGAAGAGAGAGCTGAGTCAAAAGGCAAAGCTCTCGATTTACCGGTCGATCTACGTTCCTACCCTCATCTATGGTCATGAGCTTTGGGTTGTGACCGAAAGAACAAGATCACGGATACAAGCAGTTGAAATTAGTTTTCTCTGCTGGGTGTCTGGGCTCTCCCTTGGAGATAGGGGGAGAAGCTCAGTCATCCAGGAGGGACTCAGTGCAGAGCCGCTGCTTCTCCACGTCGAGTGGAGCCAGTTGAGGTGGCTTGGGCATCTGGTTAGGATGCCTCCTGGACACCTCCCTGGTGAGGTGTTCCGGACATGTCCCACCGGGAGGAAACCCAGACGAAGACCCAGGACACGCTGGAGGGACTATGTTTCTTAGCTGGAATGGGAACGCCTTGGGATTCCCCCAGAGGAGCTGGTCCAAGTGGCTGAGGAGAGAGAAGTCTGCACCTCCCTATCCCCGTGACCCAACCCCGGATAAGTGGAAGAAAATGGATGGATGGATTTTTTAACAATTGATTTAGTTGAAGTCGAAAATGGAAAATATGTAACCAAAGTATCACGGCTGTCAGTAATTTGGTCACAGTGACCCAAAAAACGTTTAGAGAACATCTACCATTGATGAGATAACCTGCCCATCTGTGAACATTGTGTGTCCGCCTTAGAGATGACTAGAGAAATGTTCTGATTATTATTCTACTCAAAGAGAAATGATCCAGACTGCCCGATTCTCTGAGCTATGGCAAAAGAAATGATCTTCAGTTCTCGGTTCTTAAATCTTTTTGTTTATTGACAAACTAAAAAAAGCAACAACCTTAGTGAACCAACAGCTCCATCATCAGATCATAACCTGTCTTATGTTTAAGAGAAGAAAAAAAAAACTAATTTTATTATTCATGTTTTTGTACACAGCATTTATTTTTTGTCATTACTACAGACATATGAAAAACATATCTTAATGCTGGCTTTAAAAAACGAAAGGAATTAAATAAATAATTCCAAACGAAATGCATTTTGGTTTTGCTATTTTTTGTGGGCTAAACAACCACCTGGCACACAAGAAAAGTGCAGAAATGACCTTTTAAACTTTGCTGCCAAAGGCAGACTTGGTAAGTCAACCTTGCTTCAACAGACTTTCCTCTGAGCCAGGAGGAGGTGGTGGAGGAGGTGGAGGAGGAGCTTGGATTCAACATGACCGCCCCTGTGGGTGCCCCTTCCTATATCACTTCCTATTTCCCCTCTCTCTTCCATTGATACCAACAGCTGACGTCAATGACACATTTCAGAGTCATTGATGGAAATTCAATCAGATCTTTGATTTCAAAGAAACTAAAGTAAGTCAGGCCGCTTACTTTAACGACCTGAAGCATCTCCACAGGTGTGTTGGGGAATATTTGTAACGTGGTGCTGCTGGTGATGGTTCTTTGTGAAGTAGTTCTTCTGTGGCTGGTGCCTCTTCTGTTCTCTCTCGTGTTTTTGTGCGTTAGAGTGTAATGCTCAGCGTTTTGTGTAAAAAGTCTCGTTCTGTTGTGTCTGTTGTAACAGAAATAAATATCTTGGCATATTTTACCAGTGTATAGTATCATACTTTAAGCTTTAAACAGCTGAGACCCCAACACCCTCCCTCATCGTTCATCCCCATTCTTTCCATTCCTATTTCCATCCCCAATTAGTCTCTGCAGAGAGTTTGATTCTAGACGAGATTGGCTTCCTCTGTCTAAAGGGAGAATTGCGTCTATTTATAACTCAGCCTGCAACCTGCCCCGTGGACCTGGGGAGCAATTTACAAAGCTCTGTCTCCGTTTATTCATGCCTGCTTGATTTTAATTTAATGTTTTTAATCAATCAGCCACTCTGCATGCATTTGACTCAAGGAATGTGTCTCTAGTTTGAATCCTTCATTTGCATCTTAATTGGGCAGAGAATCGACAGCAAACCATCGTCAAAGTTCAGTTTACAACCAACGATTTGTCTTCTCTGGTTTTGATTATTAATGGCTTTGTGTACAAGTAGAGGGGTTATGGTTTTATTTCTTTATGAAGATCTGTCAGCATTTCAGCCATCACATTAGTTGACTTCTGCCAGGCAACTCCCCTGACCTCTGACCTGATAACTCTCGTCAATCGCTTATGCTTTCTTCTATTGATTTATTTGAATTTCACACATGAAGGTAAATAAGATAAATGTAAACATTTATTAAGCTAATACGTATGAATTAGATTAAATTGGCTGAGTTTCACTTTCTTTTGTGCGATTAAACACTTTAGTATTTGCCTCAAGTTTATTGTTGACATGTTTTTTGGAGCAACACTCGAGATAAAATACGAGCACGTAATAGTTTTTTTTTTAATTCGTTCTGAAAACAGGAACTTTTAAACAGATGTGAAACAGATGTGTAAACATTTCTGTACGCTAACTGTGCAGCCACAACCTCACCTCGCCAGAGTCACAAGCTCGTTTAAAACTTAGCAACGTTTTCTGCAAGATTGAACAAAGCAGTTAGTAATCGACAGGAAGTATGCAGTAAAGTGCAAGTACTTGCTTCAAACTTAAAATATGGTTTAAATTACAGATTGTTCTCAAATAATCCACTGAAAAATTATTTTTGAGAAAAAAATAATGCAACTTTGCTAAAGAAATGTCAGCAGATTCTCTCTGGCAGCTATAATTTGTCATTTTTGTGTTTGTTATGCAAAAATTTACCAATTTAAGAATAATTATCCCACACCATGTAAATCATAAGAAGTCACCAAACATTCCAGTACATTTATCACTTCTATCACACCCTTTAGGAGTAAACATATCTTTGGCATTCCCATTCCTCATCCTCATTCTACTTCCCCCTGTGCCTCAGTTGGAGGTGTAGTCAACTGCAGAGGCAGAAAGAGTTTTGACGTTGTTTTGTGTGTCTCTCTCTCTTTGTGTGCATGTGTGTTGCTGCTCTGTCCCTCCTGCTGCCGCTCATACCTGCTGTAGGTGTGACACGCTCCATGAAGGACAAGGTGACCAAGCCCACCGCCATGGCCCAGGGTCGCGTGGCCCACATGATCGAGTGGCAGAGCTGGGGCAAACCATCTGCGGGGCCACTGGGGGGCTTGGGACATACCAACCTGCAGAGGGAAAAGGAGAGGAGGTTGGAGAACGACGCCTACAGTGACCTCAGCGATGGCGAGAAGGAGGCTCGCTTTGCTGCAGGTGAGAGTCATTTTGAAACATTTCAAACTGGTAGTGCTCTGGGTTAGACCAGTTGCTTCTTTTGTTGTGAATCAAAAGGAGATGCCTATATTATGACATGAAAAGTTGCAGTGATGGACATTTTATTTGAACTTTTGTCAATTTCTATTTTGGGAATCCAGCCACACGGAACTTTCCGACAGCTATCAGCGGCACTAGCTGCCATTTGTCTGAGTGCACAGAATGCTGAGAAATCCACCTCGATTGGTTTGAATGGTTAATAGCTTTTTAGTTCAACCTGATATGGTACGGTACGGTACGGCATGGTATGGTACGAGCAGTATGGGTATGGTATGGGTATGGTATGTATGATATGGCATGTATGGTACAGTATGGTAAAGATATGGTATGTATGGTATGATATAGTATGGATATGATTTGGTATAGTATGATATGGTATGGTATGGACATGGTTTAGTATAATATGGTATGGGTATGTTTAGTATAGTATGTATGGTATGGATATGGTTTAGTATAGTATGGTATGGTATGAAATGGTATGTTATGGTATAGGTATGGGTATGGTATGGCATGGTATGGTATGATATGGTATGGGACAGTATGATATGATATTTTTCATTCAACCTTTATTTATACAGGTTAATCCCATTGAGCCTCGGGGACTTATTAACAAGAGAGACCTGATTTCTTTAACAAAGAGTGATGATAGTGGATAACAATGACAACAGTAGACAATCATGAAAGAGACATACATATTTATTTATTAATTTTTACAAATTAACATAAAATGGCAACCAAAAGGACAGTCAAAAGCAAAAAAAGTAGCAAAAAAATAAAACCAGCTAGATTATAAGGCGATGTAGAAAACTAAAAACAGGAACATGTCTGTATTGGTTCTTGCCAGGAACTTAACAGATGTTTGAAGCCGCTTAGAGAGGTCAAGGTCGAGAGCTTCAGATCTTTTTGAAAAATATTCCAGGAAACGAGTGGAGTAGGAGAAGGCCCCTTTGCTTAGTTCAGTCCACACTGAGGGGACACTGCATGTAATAATGTCCTCAGAGTGCACGCTGTAGCTACACTCGCGCAGAGACATGTAGGAGGAGATGTATGAAGGCAGCAGACCAAGAAGTGATTTAATGATGAAAATGTACCAGTGAGAGAGTCTGCGTGAAGTTAATGATGTCCAATTAACCAATGAATACATATACGTATGGAACGGTATGGGTATAGGGGGAGTGGTGCCACAGAGGTTAAAGAAGGTGGGCCTGTGATCAGAAGATCTCTGGTTCAAGCCCTGGTACCGACAACATCAAAAATGTGGGTGGGATAGGTGAAGCACCCACACCTGCCCCCACCCTCATTCGTCCCCACTCTGGGCCCTTGAGCAAGGCGCTTAACCCCCACCATCTGCTCCTCTGGGTGTCCTAGATAGCAGCTCTCTGCTCCACACAGAGGGCTGTGGTAGCTCGGTGGTCTGTGGTTGCGTCAGGAAGGGCATCCGGCGTAAAAATAACTGCCAAGTCTTCGTGCGACTTACTTCGCTGTGGCGACCCCTGAAGAAGGGAGCAGCCGAAAGATGAAGAAAAAAAAAACGGTATGGTATGGTTTAGTATTGTATGGTATGGTATGGTACAGAGTGGTATGTTATAGTATGTTATATTATGTTATGTTATGGTACAGTATGGTTTGGTATGGTATGGTTTGGTATGGTTTGGTTGGGTATGGTTTGGTACGGTATGGTTTGGTATGGTTTGGTATGGTTTGGTATGGTATGGTTTTTAACCTGCTCACTGAGCACCACCATAAACAAACCCTACTGTTAAAGTATAATGTTTGAATTTTGAGGTAATTGAAACACACCATTTTTACTTGAGCAAACGTTAAAATTTTACTATAAAGTTTAGCTCCATGGAGCCAAAATATAAAACAGGGAAGAGGACTGAAGATTTATGCACAGTATTTTCTCTGGAGCGTAACTTTTGTTTACTCAGATTTGAAAGATTTCACAGGACCCTGCTGATCTGCAGGTTCTTGTTTATTTGCTGAAAACGCAACATATTTTTGTTGTTGTTTGGAGTAAACACACTGTGTGTGTTCTCCTCTGCTCTCAAACCTCCTGTTTCTCCATGTTAATGACTTTTACCTGCTTTGTTTTGACCACTAATTAACACCTGTATGTGTCAGCCAAGTAGGGACTCAGATCTGTGTTGTGCACTCGATCTGTAATTAGAAAAATCTTTGTGTAACCGTTACGTGGTCATTTTTCCTTCTCCCTACCTCTCGCCCATCCCGGCTGCAGGGATTATGCAGCAGTTTGCAATTTCGGAGGCAACTCTGTTTGGCTGGAACTCAATGGACGGTGAGAGTATGGGAGCCGGCTCCAACCAGGGCAGCGTCGCTCACCTGAGTGAGGTCAACCAGGAGAGCATTACCAGCAGAGGTAAACTGCACATGGTGCTGATCTACTGGGGGCTCACTAACCACCAGACTGAGTCCTTTCTCCAGTTTATAACACTGAAGTATTGATGTCCAAGCCCTGCAGTACATACAGAGTTTAACAGATTTTGCAATCTCGTATGCAAAGTTTGCAAGACTTTCAAACATCTTCACTCATTCACGTCTTTGGCTTCAGAATAAAGTCCTAAAAATAACTGTTGCACACTAAAAGAAAGCCACGTCAGTCACTCATTCAGCCAAAAGTCAAGTACTTTTGGAGGACAACCACACAGCTGCACATTTCACACCTACAGGGCACTGACTCAGAAACGTCCAAATGACAAATCCGGATGACAGTCTGTCGTTTCGAGCCATCAGATGAGTTGTATACATGTGCTTGAGTAAGAGAGGTTGCATGAAAGACAAGCGACAAGATTTTTCTATTGGTTTCAAATGATGACTGAAGTTTGAACAAATACAACATTAAGAAGAAAAGGTTGCCCAGGAAAGAAGTAGCCATGTACTATAGCCAATAAAACGCAGTCTTGTGGCTATCTTTCAGCATTTTTTCAGCTGCTCAAAAGTTATCCAACATAATTTTGTAATCCTACAGATGTACCACTTTCAGTTGTGCACGCAGCAAGTCCGTAAACTAAATCATTTTCAGTTGGTGTGCAAGTCTGTCTAAGCCCTGAGGGACTCTGTAGGTTAGCACAAGGACTTAGCCCTGCTTTCATTAACACCAACCATATGGGCTCCACTCAGGGCTTTCTCGTGCATAAAAAAACCAACACACACACGTGCAACAAACAGCCCCGATTAAAAAGATGTTCAGGGTTGGGGGATGTTTCTCCTCTACAAAGTTCGAGTGCTACCACTTCAGAACTGCAGCAGACAGACTGATCATAGAAAAGTTTTTACAACCAGAATTTTTATTGCTGATAAATTCAGTTTTCAAGTCCAACTTTTAGGCTTTTTTGTGAGTCTTCTCAACGTAGAAACACATCAGAAAACCTGATTTCTGCTCACATAGACTCCTGTCAGAACCATCAGCTTTTAATTTAATTTGACATTCAAATGTCAAACTCTCAATTCCATGACTTGTAGGAGCCACGTTGAACATTTTACTTCTTCTTGTGTTTTTTTCCCCTCCTTTTTAATGGTTTTGCATTTTGTTCTCCCACCTGAACAGACCAGGTGCTCCATCACTCCTCTGCAGACGTCTGGCCTCACACGTACGTCTCACAAGGTCTTTACTGCCTGTCGTCCTCCGACGCCTGGGACCCGATCACCAGCCAGCCCTCAGGTGTGGTCTCGCCTGCTGCAGGCTCCTACATCATGGCTGCTGGTGAGGAACTGCTCTTAAAATTTGAAGCAGGTTTGCACAGCCTCCAGGCGCAAAGCCGTCAGGTGTTTCTGTGTCCGTTCCAGGTGGTAGCAACGGAGTAGGGGGTACACCCGGAGAAGGGTACGAGGGGACGGTAGGCGGTTATATTCAGCATCACCAGGCTCAGCTTGCACTGCAGCAGCACAGTCAACTTCAGCAGCTTCAGCAGCTTCATCAATACCAGCAACAGCTCCTGCAGTACCAACAGCAACAACAGGTCGGTGGACAAAGACTAAAGGACAAAAGAGGTGGTGAAGATCAACGTGTTCTGACTTTATTTAGTCATTAAGACTGTGTCGTCATGGTAACGTAGAACAACAGAAGTACCAAATAGGGGTGTAATGGTGCACCCAAGTCAGAGTATGATGCATATATTGGTATGATGGTCACAGTACAATGGGTCTGCTGGGAGGCTGGGAAAACAGCCACTCCTTGTAGGAGGGAGGTCTAAGAAAGAATTTGACAGCTGGAACTTTTATTAAAAAATAAATAAATAAAAAGATTTATCTTTTATTGTGTACATCCATACCATACCAGTTTCATTTATAGAGCACTTTAAACACCCACAGTACCAAAGTTCTGTGCATCTAATTAAACAATCATACAATTAGTCCGAATGGAATAAAATGGAATAGATAAAAAATTCCACCTCTCATCTCCGCCTCCTGCAGTCGAACATAACGCTGGCATCGCAGAGTTTTAATAACAGTTTCTTCATCTCATGCATCTTTTTTCTGAATTTTTGGTTTGACGTAGTGTGTTTAGACTCTATCTTCATTATTGCTTCTTTTCTTTCAGAGCTGTTAGCAAAATTCAGTTATATAGAACGTGCGTCTTCTTCTAGATGGGAAATCACATGACTGACAAGTTGGTTGTCTAAATTATGTAGTCGATCAAAATGCACACAGATAAATGTACCGTTGTAGTGATAGGGTAAAGTAAAGAGGTCTGTACACCTTTTAATGGGTATGCAATTAAAATAATAAACGTGAACCAGTAGTATTATTTCAGAAGGGTGAATAATATAAACTAGTTTAAACTTTGAGGAGAGTCGTTATCTAAATTTAGGACTAATGTTTAACAATTAAGGTAAATTGCTGAGGTTCGTGAACTAACTTAAATGTGCCTAAAAGAACTAGTTGGCACAGTGTTCTGAGTTCACTGAAGTTCTTCGGCAGAAGGAAGATGAGTTTTTCCTAGGAGCAGATGTTCTCATTACCACGATGGATACGAGGTGAAAGGGCCAGTGTTCGTCATCCCAGGAAGTGACAATTCTCTCCAGAACTACGATTCAATCGGCAAGACAGCGCCATCGTTCCGGGGTGTTTGAGAGAGTTCTGTGGACTTTCTCCACATTTCAGCCGTCTGACTCCGTCCGAGATGGGGAGGACGAGCCTGGCTCACAGCAGCTTGAAAAATGCATGAAGAAGACAATGACTCAGACTTTGACTCAGACTTTGACTCTCCCTTCGAGTTTCAGTTTTACCCGATTCTAGAAGGGGCGTTGCTTATGCAAATTGTATCCAATCAGCACAGCTCTGACCAACAAAATGGACGTTAACTGAGTTGCATAACTTAATTTTGAGGAGCTAAGTCACCGCTTCTCAAAGGTTAGAGGGAAATCAATGACTGCTTTGTTCACCCAGTAACACCTTGTTTAAAAAAAAACAAAAAAAAAACAATTTTCTTCACAGATGTACATTTGGGTTCTTCACACAATACTGATAAACAACAGGTGGTCTGTTTGAAGCTTTGTCCAACTGGAAAACTTCCTTTGTTGCCATGGTGATCACACACCTCTGTTGTCCTGGGGGTATGACAAAGTTCTGCCCAACTGGCAAATGCAGATTACAGAGGTGTTGCTTTGTCTGACCAGGAACCAAGAGTTGATTAGCTTTGCAGGAGGTAGATTCTGTTACTTTGATATAGAATTTTTGGAAACACAAAGTCTATCTTTCCAGGAAGGGAGTAGATTAGTAAAGAGGGGGTGGAAGAGTTTAGTTACAGTGTCTCCAAGGACAGGATGTGGACTTCTCTGGGGGACATAGGACACTACATTGTTATATGCCTGGTGTTGAAGTCAGATCAAACCATCTGTGGCATTAATCAAAGCAACATATTTTAGATGTATTTACTTATAAAACACATCTGGTATTATTTGTGATATTGTGAGTAATAATGTTCTTATGTTTGTTTATATCAGAGGTTGTTCTGACTGTGGGAGTTCAGCGAACAACCTCACAGCTGCACAGCAACAGCAACCTTCAATCAAAGCAGACATTGTGTTCCTCGATTCACTAAATTTGATTGTGTTGCTGGATATTTACAGCAAAGGTTCAGTTGTAGGTCCTTGTAAGCTTTGCAGCTCCGTTTGAAGCAGTTTGTTGTAAATCAGCTGCTGCCTTAGACTGCTGGGAGATTTTCTGCAAACAGACTGAGTCATGATGTGCTGTGACACCCGAAGACTTTTCCAGGCGTCGCTGACTGCTCCTGCTCACTGCGTTCTCTAGGCTCATTAAAAAACTGTGGGTTATGAAATAATAATTTTTAAAAGGTCAGGGACTGTTTCTCTGAAAAGGTGTGCTGATCCAAGGCCACGATGGAAATGAGCTTGTTAGCTTCACTCTGTGCTTTATAGGGCTTCCTCATTATATAACACTACATGTATTGGATTAAAGTTATGAAGTATTTTTTATCGGTTAATGCATTTGAGCTTGAGACCTTTCCTCCTTCATTACCTGCAGGATCATCCCTGACTTATGATTCAAGAAGGAAGTGAGAGTAAATGCAAAACTCTAGAACGGAGTCCAAAACAAAATAACATATTTCTTTCTTCTTTAACTTGTGAGGAATGCTGAAAAGTTATTACCATACTTTTCACTGTATAAGTTGCAGTTTTTTGCATGAATTAGCAAGCCTGTGACTTACACAGCTAAGTGTCGTATTTATGTTTTTTTTTCCACTTTATTAGACATATTTGGACTGATGCGACTTATGCGGCGGCAAGTACGGTAGTTGCTTTAGGCTTTTAAGATTGATGCGCGTGCAGGAAAGGTGTTTTACTTTTATTCTGGTTGGAAATATTTTATTTCCAAAGAAAATCGTAAAAGAAAGAGGACATTTCCTGAGATATTCAGTGAAACTGATCAAAACCCAAATCCTCAAGTGTATTTCCTTTTCCCGTTGCATTTTCTGTCCATGTCCAGACTATGGAGCACAGGCTACACAGTGCCTCCCATTCCCTCCAAGCCACCCCCAACAGCACCATCCACAGCCTCGGTCCTCCCACTCACCCTCAGTTAGCCGACCTTTGGGGGGCTGCCCAGGCTGAGGCCCATCAGGTAGGCACACGTCTGCTGAATGCAAATGATCAGATTATATTTTGTGGACCAGATGACGATTTAATAAGTTCTGACAGAACAGCTTTGAAGGAGTACAAGGACACTGAGCTGCGTGACTACATGCACAGTCACAGGCATGCAAATCTGCCATCGGTCACTATCCCAGACTGACAGTTATTCCAAACAACAGCATGCTCATTATGTTAAGCAAAACTTAATTTTTGTTCCATCTATTAAAAGTAATCAGTATACAAAAATAAGTTTTTTACACAAGATACATTTTTTTGTGATTTTCATTACACTTGACTCTGACAGTCACTTGTTTCTTGTCCTATTGATCTGACTTTTCTATATCAGCAGGCCAATTTAGCGCACAACTAGTGCAGTGAATGATGAACAGCCAGGGGAGTCTTCAAGGTAGGAGACAGGCTAAAGATCTGCATGGTGCACTCCCGAAAGGTCTGCATGGCAGCTTGAAGTAGATTGGATACATTTTGGGGAGCAATCATGGGGAAAACAGCCGGGTTGCCACAATGGCATGACAAAACGTTGACAAGTTTACGACTGTAGGCCTTTGGATTCAGCATCTGTGCCTGCTGCATCTGCCTCAGTATCGTTGGAAATCCAATCTGGATTGGGACAGTGGAGCTCATAACCTGCCTGGTCCTTCTCCCTTTTTCCTGTTTTTTTTATTTTATTTTGTGTTATCAGAGATTACAGGAGCTCAAATGAAAGAGAGATCCCTTCCGTAATTAGAGATTAGAACCAGTAGAGTGCCTTTCCTGTCCAGTAAGATCGGATAGAGAAGCGTTCGAGTCTGTAACTGATCTGTTTCCAGGTGGAGATCGTTGGGCAGCTGAGTGCGCAGATGGCCGACATGGTTGGAGGGGTGGTGGAGACAGTTGGAGAGGAGCCAGAACCGGAGTCTGAAGAGACTCATGAACAACATGAGGAGGAAGAGGAGCTGACAAGAGTGAGTTAGAAACTGATAATTACTTTGTTTATCCTTCGCTTCTTTTTTTTGGTGAAATTAAAAACATTGCAGAAATGCAGAAAGAATGCAGAGTGCTGGCGACTTTGATGACATTTGTTCGGGAAGCTGAAACCGACTGAAAAAGATTTGTTCAAGTTAAAACCAGTGGAACCAATGAGGAGAATCTTAGCTGAAACGCACAGATGCACAACTAACGAGAACAAAAGCTAAAACTGAAGAGTAAGACGCTGAAATTAACAGAATAGCCAAATATCAAAACAAGCAAAACAGCTGCTAAAAATTTAATTAGCTGAACTGTAGCAAAAAGCCTAAATCAGAAAGGTTGAAACAATCAAAACAGTAGTCACTAACAGCTAAAACTAGCAAAAGTGTAGAATACAGTAGTTAAAAGCTAAAATGAGCAAAAAATAAAGTAGAGTTTCACCTAGAAAACCAGCAGCTAAAAGCTCAAATTTACAAAAGAGCAACAAAAAATAAACTTGACAAGCTAATATCTAAAACCAGCAGCACAGTAGCTAAAAGCTAAATTGCGCTAAACTGTAGTTAGTTGCTAAAATTAGTCAAACCATAACTAAAAGATAAAGACACCCAAAGCATATCTAAAAGCCAGGATTAGCAAAAGTGTAGCTAAAAGCTAACATTAGCAAATCAATAGTGTAAAGCATAATGGGACAAAAATAAAGCAAGCAGAACACGTTAAAATAGATTTAAATTAAAAGGTAAAGCTGTTGTCAATCAGCAAGAAGGTCGCCAGACTGAATCCCAGCCGGGGACCTTCCTGGATGGAGGTTGCATGTTCCTTCAGTGCATGCTTGGGTTTCCTCCAGGTACTCCAGTTTCCTCCCACAGACCAAAAACATGCATGTTGGGCTGATTGGTAACTCTAATTTGTCCCTAGATGAGTGAGAGTGAATGATTGTTTGTCTCTGTGTGTCCCTGTGATGGACTGGAGACCTGTCCAGGGTCTACGCTTGCACAGTGATAGCTGGATATGGGCACCAGTGACTCCCACAACCCAGAATGGAAGAATCAGGTCAAGATAATGGATGGATGGATAGAAGGATTTACAAGTCATTAATGTATGGAGTGCAGGAACAGGAATTTGAGGCATGTTTATTGGGAACACTTGTAAATAATGTTTAATACTTTGGTAAGTATAAAACTTACAAATTCCACACTATTCTCAATCAAGCTTGTTGATGTGTCAGGGTTTTTGAAGTGTGTTTTATTTGCAGATGATGCCACATTTTTTTGTTCCGGTGAAGATATTGAACGGATGTTAGAGATGATACAGGCAGAATTTGTAAAAATAAAAACTTGGTTCCAACTTAACAAGTTATCATTAAATTTGAGGAAAAAAAAAACTAACGACATGATATTTAGTAATAGTAATAAAATTATCGAAGCCCCATTTAAAACTGACAGTATTGAAATTCATAAAGTTAATGAAAAAAAATTTGGGGGTGTCGTTATTGATGAGAAGCTGACCTGGAAATCTCATGTAAACTACTTAAGAATAAAAATAGTAAAATCAATTGCATTACTGTATAAAGTAAAAGAGTTTTTGAATGACAAAGCTTTGTATATATTGTATAATGTAACGATTGTTCTATATTTAATTAATTGTATTGAAGTTTGGGGAAAAGCATGCAAGACAATTACAAACGCTATTTTCATTTTATAAGAAAGAGCTATAAGAATTATTAGGAGAAAGTGCTACAGTCACCCAACAAATGTATTATTTCATTAATTGAAATTATTAAAATGTCATGATTTGGTTGAATATAGTATATTACAAGTCATGTATAAAGCTAATAAAAATATTACCCCAAATATTAAAATTTGTTAAAAAAGAGAGTCATTATAACCTTAAGGGAATGGAAATGTTTGTAAAACCTCCATTTAGAACTGGTCTGAAGGAGCTGCGTTACAGGAACCGCCTTGATATCATCATAGAAACAATTTAAATGTTTTAAAAGATGATTAAGGTAAAGTTGTTGGGAAAGTATGGTGCCATGTGAATAATATCTAATATTTTTGTTTTCACTTTGGAGATTGTTCAATCCTAAATTGTTGTTTCTAGTTATTTTAATTATTTATTTTAAATCAGGGGCAAATACAATATTTTTTTCTTCTTTCTGCACCTTTTTCCTTTTAATGGTTTTTCTTTTGGATGAATTTGTTTAGATTATTTTGTTTCTTTTAAATGAATGAATAAAATAATTTAAAAAAAAGTGAAGGTTTATATATTCAAATTGTTAAAATGGCACAAAGGACACGTGTAATTCGATTACAAAAATGTATGAAAGAAACTCACACGACAAGAGCAGCAATAATGTCATCAACCGTTAAAACAAACAACTGTTTACCTAATCTAAATTAATATTAAAGCACTGCATTTAACTAATAATAACTTCTAATTATGTGGCTTCACAGGTAGAGGAGGTAACATTGACACTGGAGCCAGAACCGTGCTCTTTGACACCGTCCCCGCTGAGGGAAGACGCCCCCACGACCCGAGGTTCAAGCCCAGGACTACCAGCACAGATCGCTGAATCCATCACGGAGAGAATACCATTTGACATCATCCCTTGTGTCGTCCAGTCGTTAGAGGAGAAAGACGAGGAGGGGGAAGAGGGCTCCATTGTCGTCGTTGCAACCAACTGAGTCCCATGGCCAAAACAGAAAAAGACTGACAAACGCAGGACATAATTATCCCAATAATCAGTCAAGCTATCTCAACCCTTCCTTCTCCCAAATATTTACCTTTTTTGAATCTGAGTAAATGCTTTTTCAGCTGGAAATGTGGAATGTAATGTATCCAAACTAGATGCCATCTAACCCCAGCAAACCCTCAAGTTTAACATCAACAATGTCGACTTTGACAAGTTAAATGTACACCGGAGGAGAGACCTGAAACTTTGCGATGGATTAACAATGTTCGGACCAAATGGACCTAACACAGGCAGAACTGGATGCAAACAGGGCTTTAAACAAAGGATGCAGATTTCTCAATAAGATGCAAACAAAAACGGTGAGCGATGGAGGAAAGGGCAAATTTAAAAATTCTGTGCAATACTGTAAAGCTGGACACATCAGTGGGTTGGTAAATAATTCTGAGTGCTTGTTCCATGTTACTTGTAGCATCAGAAAAGACTTTGTCAGGGAAACCATTGATTTGTTGACTGATGCTTTTGGTTTGGAGACGTAAAACCCAAACCTCGGAGCGACACGAGGCACGCATTTTGAGTTATTTGCAAACGCATCATCTGACCACAACCAAAACAAAGTGCATGCTTTTTAACAGTGACCTAGCCCAAACAGTATATCGCAGTATACAAAGTAATAATATATATAAAAATGTTTTTATATTAAAATAAAAATAATCTAATAAACTGATATGTACATGTATGGATGTGAGACTGTATGTATGTGTGTACGAATGTAGCTGCTTTATTTGTGCGTTAAATATATTTATTCTGAGAAACAAATTCACATTGGTGTTGGTATGTTTCAGCATACGATGCAAAAAAAAAAAATGCACACGCACTTTACTATCTTTTTTTAGTGACGTATCAAGCTACTTAGAACTCAAACACTAATGTTAACTTTAATATTCTTCTAAATTTATCCATCAAAATATCATTTTAAGGGACAAGGAACAGAAAGCATTTATGTTCCAAACCTAAAGTCTTAATTCTTGAAAGAATTAATTGCAATAAAAGCTGTAATACGGCCCACAACAAACCTTGTAAGTACTCTTTAAGTACTAGATACCTTTCAGTTATGTCCTAGATATTCACCGGATACTTAAAGTGTACATACCTGGTATCTAGCTAGTACTTATAGGGTGTTATGTGCTTGGAACTTGGACTAGGTAAACACTAGGTATGTATCAGGCAAAGAACCCAATACCTACTCATTAACTCTGAGACACATACAGAGTATGTACAAACTACCAAGTAAATACCAGGAACTCTGTAAGACAAGGTGCATAGTTTGTAAGAACACTTAACCTGTACTCTGTAAGTACCTGGTATGTACTTTGTAAATCCAAGGTACATTCTCTGT